ATCAGCACAGTGTACACTGTGTACACATCTACACTGTGCTGCAGCACAGTGTACACATCTACACTGTGCTGATGAGCCCCAAAAGGGCGAAACAGCTGTCCACAGTTGCTAATGTGAGCAGGACACACTGTCATGGTCCGTTCATGGCTCTTTACGCTGCTTTGAAACTACGACATGTAGTACGCATGCGTATTCGAGATATGACTTACTTTGTCAGTTTTATAATATTTTGTGTGTCCCACATCCGCATCCTACTTTGTCGTCATATATATATATATATATATATATATATGTCATATATATATATATATATATATATATATATATATATATATATATATATATATATATATATATATATATATATATATATATATATATATATATAGTTAAGAAGGAGGAGCTTAATAGTGTCACTGAAATATGATCAGTTCTTTTGAAGCTTTGGCGCCGTGGTTGAGTTCTGGTTTCCTTCTGCGAATTGCAAGGGATTCTTTATATAATAGTAGAGACCAGTGATCAGATCTATCAATTATCTTACAGTTCTCAAATATAAGTTGTGTTGTGTTAGTGTTTATAGTTTCAGTAGAATCAGGCGTTAGTTCCATTAGGGTTTTGATGTGTTGGAAGTGTTCACAAGAGTTAATGTGGGCATTGATTTCTGAACTTTCGCGATTATTGTGTTCTTTAAGGCGCGTAAAAAGGCAACAATCTGTTTTGCCAATATACGAGCTTTTGCAACCAGGACAGGAAAACTGGTAAACTACGGAGCTTCGATATTCACTTGGAGTTTTATCTTTGCATGATAGAAAACAATTGACTTGGGTGGTTTTCCAGAGCAGAATAAACTTGCATGGACCTTTCAGCAAGCGGCGGGTTTTGTTAATAAACTTTTTTGTCAAAGTGTTGCTGTATATGCCAATGAATGGTAAGCGTAGCCATATTTTCGGTAGGCTTTGAGGGGATGTTGACTCATCAGAATCTTGCATGTTGTTGCTTGTATGACATGGTGTGAAAGCGTTGATCAGTTTCTTCGCCATGTTGCGAGAAAAACCATTCCAAGACATCAAGTCTTGGATGGTTTTGAGTTCATGTTGAAGCAACTGTTGATTGCTCAGATTCTGTACGCACGGTTCACGAGAGCTCTTATCCAAGCTGTCTTATAAGACCATGGGGTGAAACTAGAAAGGTGCGTGTACTGACCAGTATGTGTAGACTTGCAAAATATCGTCATGCGGTCCAAAGAGTTGATCTGCAGGTCAAGAAAGTGCACAATACCATCAGGGAATTCTTCAAATGTAAACTCGATCTGAGGGTGAAATGAGTTGAAAACTTTAAGGACTTCAGGGACATCAGACGGTTTAACAAGAACTAACGTGTCATCAACATAGCTGGCATAAAAGGCTATAAGGTTTGAATCAATCAATTTCTGAACAATTTCGTCCTCAAATGTAGTCATGATGATGTTGGCAAGAGTAGGACCTAAAGGAAAATTGCAACACCGTCTATCTGTTTGAAAAGTTCACCGTTGATGGAAAAGGGGGTCTTGGTGCACGAGTCGAGCAGGAGTTTCTTTAGTGTCCGTTTCTTTAACGTGGTGTTGATTTGCTGCTTATTGTAAGTTCTATCCAGGATTATGTTGATGGTTTTCTTGAGGGGGACGTTTGTAAAAAGTGATTTGACATCAAAAGAGACAAATCGATAACCATCTCTGAATAGTTGTTCTGGAATGTTTTGGATGCGAGAACCAGCCTCAAAACTGTCCTTCAAAGTGTGCGAATTCATAGTGAGCGGATTAAGCAATCTCGTGAGGTATTTGGCAATAGGTTGATAGGCAGTACCGATGGTATCAATGATAGGGCGGAAAGGTGGCAAGGTATCAAAGTTCTTGTGGGTTTTAGGAAGGCCATGAGCGCGGGCAGGTTTAGTGGATTGAGGTTGAACTTCAGAAAATGTATCGCTTGTAATTTCACCGCGGTTATAAATGGTTCGGAGGTAGTTTTGAAGGGTCGTTAATTGGGTTAGTGTACGATCTGATTTAAGTTTTTTAAATTTGGTTTTGTCAGCAAAAAGTTCAGTCATGCACGACTGGTAATCCAGTTTCTTCAGGATGACGACTCCGCTGCCTTTATCTGGCCGAAGGATAGCGTATTTCTGCCTGAGATCTTTTAGGATTTTGATGCGTTTGTGATCTACATTTAGTTGGCGGTCGTCAAAGTCAAGGAAATTACATGCCAGGGCTTTTATAGACGCTTTAATCTTTTGCTGTTTCATGAAGCTGTCTGGTAGGAGATTTTGGGATTTAAGTTGGTCCCAAATTGATTCTTTAGATTTTTTAGATCAACTTTATTTAAACACATTGGCCTTTTCAGCAAAAGCTGATTTCCAAAAGGGATGTGTACTTACAAATTATTATTCATATACTAGCTCTAATATTACATACATAACAAATACAATTATATACCTATTTATACAAAAAATTAACTACTACTTTAAGTCGAGATTAAGGTCGAGGAAGATAGCTTTTTACAGAACGAATTATACGATACCGAATTGCGTATCTCTCCAGGTATCTGATTCCATAGTTTAGCCCCACTATATTGGAAGCTTTTTTTAAGGATTCCGTTTTTGGTCTTGGAATATAAAACCTTGTTGAAGAACCTCTCAGATTATGGTCATGAATGGTATTCAGATTTTGGAAAGCTTCGCATAGTCGTTGGGGGGCTAAACCATTAACTGTCTTGTACATGAGCCTGGCTTTCATTTGTGCCCTACGCTCTTCAAGTGTTACCCAGCCTAGAGATTTTCGTGCCAAAATAGACTGACCATGTTCATTTTCTAAGTTCACGATCAACCTAGCCGCTCTGTTTTGGAATTTCTGTAGACGTTCGCTTAGGCCTTTATTAAGTGTATCCCATACTTCACAGCAATAATCAAAATAAGGTTGGATTAAGGCATTATAAACTTTTATCAAAATGTCTTGTTCGACATACTCCCTCATTTTCCTAATAGCCCCAATACCTGATGATATTTTACTGCTAGTATGTGGGTGTTCCAGAGAGATTTGCGATTGTGAAAGCATAGTCTGGTTCGGAGTCGGAATCGGGTGGAGACTGGGGGCGGGTATGGATGACATTCTTTACATGCTGTGATGATGGGGGTTTGGTGCGGCAAACCCGGGCAAAATGTCCGATTTTCCCACAATATTTGCAGTCTTTGCCTCGTGCTGGGCAAACTCTGATATGCGGGTATGTCCCACCGCAGTTTCCACAGGTTTCTCTGGCACGAGATTGCTCTAAATGCGATCTTGGGGGACTGTGGCTTCCGTATTTGGCTGTTGTATATTTCCGTGACGAACTGAATTGACGCCGTTGAGAATTCTTGTTGCTCGACTTGGCTGGCTTGTTTTTCGCTTAGTTTGATGGCTCTGCCGGTCTTCATCAGGTTCGGTAGATCAAGATTGTCACGAAGGGCTCGTCGGCGTAGAGAGTTGGACGTACAGGTCAAAATAATATGGTCTTTGATCTCTTTAGCGGGGTCGCTAAATTCGCACGTTTGAGAAAGATGGCGTAATCGAGTATGATAAGAATCAAGGGACTCGTCGGGTTTCTGTTTCGCTTGGCAGAAGTTAAAAACTTCGAAAGCCACATTAGTTTAGGTGAGAAGTACTGGTTGAGCTTTTCCACTACGGTTTTGTAGTCTTCGTTGCTGCTAGTCGGCAGAGTATCGTAGATATCATCGACATCAGAGCCAGCGTAGTGCAAGAGCAAAGCTGTTTTTCTTTTATCAGCTGTGATGTTAAGTCCGCAAAGTAGCCGTTCGAATCTCGTGAGCCACTTTTTCCATCTTGAGCCAGCATTAGAGTCCTCGTGTACATTAAACAGTGGAAAATCTGGGAGCAAAGCCATGGTTGAGGTGAGTTATAAATACTAAAATTCTGCGATATATATTACTTGTCTTGTCTGATCGCGATACGTTGTCTATACTCTTGACAGTGTGTTGTTTTGGGTATACTTCGGCTGGTTCACTTCTTGTATGCTTGTGTGATCGTTGCGGGTTTCGATCGTGTTTCCTCGTACGTCGCCAGATGTAATGTTGTAGTTGAACACTTTTACAGGGGCGGCGCTAACCCACTTCTAGTGGGGGTGTGTGAGGGATCTTTTGCCGACTGTTTGGTAATTTTGCCGAGTCATTAGCCTATAGTAAAGGTACGTTTAATTGCGTTTTATTATACCCTCTATTAAGCCGGTTTTCCACTAGCGAATATTTCCGCGCAAAGAGAGTTGTTTAAGAGATCTTTTTCCTTTGTCGGCATCCATTTTGTCACGTCTTGCTGACGTAATAAGTGATAACGACAAAGGAAAAAGGTCGCTTCGCGCAAGAAAATTCGCTAGTGGAAAACCGACTTTATTGCCTCTTTTATTGAACAGTAATAAACAACAACAACAACAACAACAACAACAACAACAACAACAACAACAACAACAACAACAACAACAACAACAACAACAACAACAACAACAACAACAACAACAACAACAACAACAACCAAACAAATTTAATTCCCTATTTATGATTTCAACAATATTATGTTTTATTTGGACTGAAAGAAGTGAAGTACTGTATTCAAAAGAATTTGCATTGCTGCATGTGTGGTTTCTGAATTTTGATGCATACACCAAGTCTCTAATAATATCAAACTGAAAGTCTGAAACTTTATATTTGACACGAGTTTTACTATTTGTAGCGAAGTCTAGCATTACAAGAAATACAAGATGAAATATCACATGCTTAATCGCTTTCGTCATAGTGAAACAGTTTTTTTAAGAACGAAAAGACTGAAAGTATCCGTTGAATTCCGTTCATATGAATTTACTCAATATATATTCTCGGTTTGCCATCTAACGCCTAATTCGTTTTGATGCCCACTGATTTACTACTTGGTACATGTCTAAACCATCTGTCAGATCCTTTTCACAATTTAACAGCATCAAATTATCTAACCTCTTGTCCCCTATTGTTGAGCGGTAAACACTCTTCACGAATTTCAGATGACTGAAAGTTCTCTCATCTTTAGCGACTGAAATTGGAGCTGTTAGCATTAACTGATATGCCTTCCATGTTAATGGCAGTGTTTTTCTCTGCTCATAAGCAAATTGGACGATGTTGTCCATGCTTCCGTTCTTTAATTCTTCCTTGTGGTCGACTATGTTTTTGAAAACTTCAAGTTCAGCTTCTAACACGTCAGCATCCACATCATTGGGGAACATTTCTGCGAGTTTCTGTATGATTTCAGGTGATGGCTCGTGCAAAGGAACCTGCAGAGCGTGGGCTATAGGGGCGATAACATCCAATGTCGGCTGCATCTTGTCCCTAAATTGCGAGATAAGGACATCCAAAACGCACTTGAAATCCTTTCTATAATATTGATAAAAGGTGAAAGCTGTGGTTTCTTGGGGATTTTCGTCGTATCGCCTCGGTGTACGCCTTACGCAGTGACTTCTTGTAAATTCTTCTTTGGCATCAATTTGGAATGACGTCTTCGCATACAACACAGCTGCTTCTATCATATCATTCATCTCTGTTTCTTCGTTATTGATTCTTTCCAAAGATGTTACAGTGGCTTTCGTCAGCTCTAAAGCATTTAAAATGTTAAGTTCTTCTTGCTGGAGGATTTCGCTTAAGATCTTAGTCTTGAACATAATGTTCTTCATAAACATTAAGGAGACAATAAAATGAAAGCTTTTTACGTTCTTCAGCAATTGTTGCTTTGACTTTTGCATCCAATTTTGGTGCTGCGAAAGCTTCCTCTAAAGCTTTAACTATAGCTTCAAGAGATGTCCACACAGCTTTGATGGATTCTGCCCTTGCCGCCCACCTTGTCTTGGAAAGATTTCTTAGCTGAAGATAGTTTTCAACTTGTTCCAGGTGCTTAGCTATGACAGTGTGACGATTTGTGCTTCCTGAGAAAAAACCATAGAGCTCCTGTAGGATGTTGAACAGTTCCTGGATGATATGGCTACTTTCACATCCGTGCTCAACCACAGAATTGCATCTATGAGCCTGGCAAGGAATGTATGGAACTTTTCTATCCAATTTCTTTTCAATTTCTGCCTGCGCACCATTGTGTATTCCAGACATATTTGAAGCGAAATCATATTACTGGAAAACCAGTTCAGAGGACTTCAAACCACTATCTTCTAATGACGTAAGGATATCACTGGCTTGTCCATTGCCTGTTTTATCGGTCGTTTCTTTAACTTCAATAAGTCGTTCTTTAACTGCAAAAGATGGACTATCCTCCTCAACATATCGGACAGCAACAGCAAGGCGATCCTTGTTTGAAGTGTCAGGGGTAGTATCCGCCATAACGGAAAACATCTTTGAATCGCTTACTTCTTCTTTCACCTTGTCCCGAATATTTTCTGCCAAAATATCAATCATTTCGTTTTGCGAGTCGTGGCTCATGTATGTAACATGATATGGTCGCAAACGAACCTCGTTGAGCCATCTATTGAGGCTTGGACAATGCCTAGATAGAAGTTGGACAATCTGGTTAAAATTGCCATCTTCTTCATCCTGCTTGTGCGTTGAGTTTGTTGATCTACCTCTGAAAGCTATCCCTTGTCGGGCCAGAGTGTGTACAACGTTTTTCTTTATCAAGGAGTAAGTCTACATTTAATGACTCTTGACTAAAAGCATAGAAATCCGCTAATGCGGCCTTATGGCTTTTCGATCCAAAATGCTCAGCAAGTTTTCCTTTCTTCTTAGTTCCTCGACTGGTCATTTTGTGCCATTGTCGCATACCATCTATAGACCATGCTGTATCGGCATGCTCCCTGCCAGGTCCGGATGGAAATAATGAACATACGTAGCAAAATGCCGCATCTTTTGAAATACTGTACTCGAGATGTGGAAATGATGCGTACCATACACTAGAAAACCGACATTGTTTTCATTGGGGGATATCTTCATGCTGTGGGAAAACAGATAACTTAGGCTGGTGTGGTCCCAATTTTATGATGTACTTCTTTTCAGTGAGTGAATTTACTTTGTATCTCTCACCAGGATCATGGCTTGGTACTGACATGACAATTTCTTCGTCATTTGGCACTGCAACTCTCTTTTTTTCTTCCATTTCCTTCAACAAAGCTCATTTTCCTGATTTTATTGGAATTCCTACAAATTTGTTGTGTTAGTTCCTCAGCATTGGTCAAGAAAGTTTCTATCGCAGGACAAGTATCACTTTTTACTTCATCCACTAATTCTGATGCCCTCTTGAGATCTTCAACCAGGTATGATAATTCGCCAGCACAAGTCAACCAATTGTGATCGTTGTTCTCTGATGAAGACTCTGCATCACTTTCATTTTCACTTTCAGAAGAAGTGCAAACGGTAAAACTGGCACTGGATAAATTTACATCTGGTTCAAGTAACGCAGATGTACACCTTGATTCAAGCTTGCCTTCTGATATTACATCACCTGAATCTACCAGTGATTCTGGTTCGCTTTCGTTTAGCAACATTATTGGGA